TTTATTTAGCCTTCGTTTATGAATATGAACTAGAGATTGAAAATGATGAGATTCTGTTTAGCCTCAATTGACTAGGTGCTAGACATAGCCTTGAAAAAAATCAGGACACTGTCTTCTTATTCTTCCTAATGCATATGTTCTTCTTCAATCCACCCAACACTCACACTTACACCTTTCCCACAAATAATTATTATATTTGATCCATTTCTTAAAGAGGAATTAACTCATTTTTGTATCCACAATTGTTGTATCTTATTTTCACCAAAACAAATTAAGTGTAATATATAAGATGATAGGTACATTTTTGTATTGCTCTAGTTCGCGGCAGTGGTTAACAATTGTGATACTATGGACTAAGATGTGATTTTTTTTCCTGGAAATTCATTGACGGCCAACCTTGCTATACCTAAAAAACATAGATTTATGGTTGCTCAACAAATGATTTTCTTTTAAGTGTCGGTGGACCTGGCTTAAACCATTCCATTGATTTTGTGTTTTTATTTTATATTATTTTTTATCTTTCATTTATTATTGTGCCATAGAGATTCAAGAGGCTTAATTTTTGTTTAATCCATTAAATGGGCAATAGACGTACTCTTGAAGATTCTCGAGAATCATGCTTTTGTTTTATCTTACATGTCAATCGATTTGTCAGTTTAATCATTTGTGTACGATTGTGCATTAGAGATATAAAAGACCAAGATTTTATTAAATCTGAGATGAATGGGTTAAAAATATACTATGAAACGAAATCTATAAATCATATCTCCTTTCCCCCTAAAGTATAAGTTTACCTACAAATCCACCACATTGCACATCTACACCTATCTTTTGCCTTTGTGCCTACTCCTAGAATCCTTTTTTTTTGCAGAACATGAATATCTTATTTGTAACACATCATCACTATATTGCATTTTAGGGTTCTCTCTCTCTCTCTCTCACACACACACACACACAGAGAGAGAGAGAGAGAGAGAGAGAGAGAGAGAGAGAGAGAGATGGTTCTTGCAAATTGCATGTGAATTAGTAGTAAGATGCCCCTAATACCCTAAACCCACTACAATTTGTACGGTTCATTGGAGGTCATGTGGCAATTTTGGCGGCAAAGGGAGGTGACGGCTGGGGAATGAAGTTTCCTCCGCCAAAGAATCTGGATCGGGAGTAGGCTGAGAGGGATCCCATCCCTGCTTATTTGGGAAGAATTGGTTCGATTTTGGAGCTCCCTTGTTTTTGGCGAGCTAAACAATTACTGGCAATGGGCTAGAGTGATCTAACTCTAATAAAACTAGTAATCTTGTGCGTGCAATGTAGGTTATACTACAAAAGATATAAATTGCATTGCAAGTTAATATTAGAAAAGGTATTGATTACACGTTGATATTAGGTAGGACATAATTAGCATGTTATGTTAGAAATAATATTAAGTGCATTGCATGTTAGTATTAGGAATGATATTGATTACATGTTGATATAGGTAGGATATAATTATGTGGTTAGCACCAAAGTTGATATTAAGTATTGTATAAATGTATGCTAAACATCAGAGCAACATAGACCATTGGATAGATGTGTTGGATCTACGCAACTCACTCTTTCTATATTGGTATCGATATAGATAACATTTTTTTGGCAGTTAAGGCTTTTAAAAATGTGATAAATATGCCCTTACTAGCAATCCAAATGGTCCCTCTCTACTGTGCCGACAACCATTTGGAGCCCCGCCCACATGTGCAAGTTATTCGCTTGGTTGGTCCTGCAAGATAGGATTTGGACAATCGATACACTACATAGGCGGGGATGGCCAAACTCCCGTCTATGCCCCCTTTGCAACAAAGCTCTCAAGTCTGCTTTGCGCCTCCTCGCCTAGTGCCACTACATGATCCTTGTTGGGATCGTGCTCGCACCTGGCTTGGTCTCCATTATTTTAGTCTGTTCGTCTGGGGCAAACACCACTTCGGTGAGAGCTTGGTGGGCCGATTTGGTGAGGAAGTCAAGACCGAATAGTAGGGCCCTCACTTCTTTGATGATGCCAGACTCTTGGGAGATTTGGAAGGAACACAATGCCAGAGTCTTCCGCAACACCGCTGCCCCCATGATGGTGGTTATAACGAGGATCAAGGAGGAATCTTTGTTTCAAAACAAATATCCTCCATAATCATCTATAGCTGCTGTGCCACCTGTGTTTCGGGTCATACTCATGTTTTTTCGAACTAAAAGACCATGTGTAGCTTTTAGAGTGTAC